GAGAGAGCAGGGGAATGGCAGACAGAGGGAGAGAGAGAATCCCAAGCAGGCTCCACGCACAGCCCGATTTGGGGCTTGAACTCACGAACCAGATCACGATCTGAGCCGAAATCAAGAGTCAGATGCTTACTGAGCCACCCAGGGGTCCCTAAAATTTTTATTTTAAAAGACAATGGACATACTGTCCTGCGCTGTGACCGTGAAACATCCCCCAGTAACCTGGACGCCCCCATCACGTGGCTCCAGGTCGGGGGAGCCTCACAGACTCTGTGGTTCTCAAGCGTGCAGCCCCTGGACCAGCCACGGCACCCCCCACCCAGACCTGCCTGAAGCAGAAACCCCATAATTTGGTTTCAGCGAGCCCCACCCCCCGGTGAATGCCCAGTGATGCCCTCTTGAGTTTGGGGATCCCAGGAGAGGTGGGTAAGGAAGCTCTGGGTCCAGTGTCCCGAAGCCCAGACCTGTCACCTGCCGGCAAGCTGGGGGCAAGCCAGCGGCCTCTTATTCTCTACTTCCTCACCCGGAAAACCCAGCTAGGACGGTCCCTCCACGAGGCACAGGCAGGGATGAACTCAGGGCGGTGAACTTGGCTCCCCTTCCCAGGCCCTTACCGACTGGCGCTCCATGGAGGCAGGGGGGATGAGGACCCCCGTGCTCCTCGGCTCTTGCTCTCGTTCTCGGGGGCTGGGTGCCACGGGAGGACCAGCAGCAGGCAGTCCGGACGCACCTGATGGGGTGGGACAAACGGGGGTGGGCACCAAGTATGGCCATCCAGCGCCCACTCTGCCATCCGCACCCGGATTTCTTGCATAAATTAATGAAGCACACAGTTGGCTTCACATGGATGGAAAGTTGCTTCTGTGGTTTTTCAACCATTTTCCAAGTTTGGGACCTGTTTTCACACCGTGAGTCGAAACAGAATTTTCACCTCATTTTACTATTAAAACAGGGTCCCTCCCTCCCTCCCCACCACCTCCAGGCGGTCAGCAGTGGGGGGAGCAGAGAGCAGAGCAGGCCAGGCCCCTGCCCCCCTCCCACTGCACCTCCCCTTGCCAGCCCACACTCCTCTGTGTGGACCTGACCACTGTGGAAAGGAAGGGCCCAGACTGGCGGTTATGAGACTGTGCACCGTGTGACAGTCACAAAGCATGGTGCCAGCACGTCCTTCCCCTGTAATCCCCACGGAGGACCAGGGAGGGAGAGTGCAGGCACTTTTTTTTGTTTTTTAGTTTATTTAGTTATTTTGTGAGACGGAGAGTACAAGCAGAGGAGGGGCAGAGAAAGAAGGGGAGAGAGAGCATCCCAAGCAGGCTCTGCACTGTCAGTGCAGGGCCCAATGTGGGGCTCAAACTCACAAACCGTGAGATCATGATCTGAGCTGAAACCAGGCATCAGAGGCTTAACTGACTGAGCCCCCCGGCACCCCAGTGCAGGTGCTTTTTGCAGTGAGACCAGGGAGACCCTGGAAGACAGGCAACTTGGCTCAACGTGGTGCAAACAGAGCCAACAATTCACGTTGCCCTCCCGCGTTCCCAGAGGGGACGCCCGCAGAGCCTGGGACACAGCTCAGAGGCCCAGGCCCCTGGGTACAGTGGTGTCCAGGACCAGTATGGGGCACTGGTTGCTCCCCTACATGCTGTGGCTCCTCGGGGCCAGGGGCACCTGTGCCTGGGTCCACGGGGCCGCCGGCCATCCAGGAAGATCCACATGCGGTGAGTCAAATAGCCCTGAACCGAGGTGTGGGGACCGGGGCCCTGACCAGACAGGGGGTGCCATTCGGGGATGTCACCCAAGGGCTGCCTGGGCCCTGTGTCTGCACCGCAGGCGTGAACCCCACTCCCTGGGGCTGGGTCTCACCTCCCCATGAAAACACATGCAGACTTCGTGGTTGTCCCTCACTTCTCTGCGTGTCTGTGGAGTTGGGAGGGTATATCCTTTAATTTAAACCAGGCTTCTACAAAGACAAAACCCCACTTTGACAAAACCTCGAAACCTGCCTCTTGATGCAGTGCCCGAGAAGCTGCCGCTAGAGGGCAGACAGGGACACTTTATGGAGCAGACAGGGACCTCAGGGACCCGGGTGAGGCTGGGTTCTGATGACGGTGATCCTCGGCTGAGGGCCCCTGCTCAGCTTCTGCGTAATCCCAAGGACACCTTCCCACCCCTAACCACACCGGTCTTACGCGGGCCAGGCGAGCAAGAGAATGCAAACAGGAAACGACCATTTGGCATCGTGCGCACCATATCTCATGGTATCGCCAAGACTGGAGGGGTCTCTGCCAAGGGCAGGAGCAGATCAAACAGGAAGCCCCAGGGGGCCTCCTCCCACACCAGGGGCCTGGGATGAGCCCTGCCCACCACGCGGGGGGCCGCTGCCAAGAGCCCGCAGACCACACCTGATGCGGTCCACCCTCTGCAGGGGAGCCTCACGGGGATGTGTGGGGGTGTGCAGGTGGCACAGCAATTGCGCCTGGAGAGGTCAAAATCTTCTCCGCTACAAAACGGGGAGGGGGGTTGAGAGGAAAGTTTAAATACGAGACTCTCCCTGGCCAGGGTGGGCCCTGTTCTGGCCCTTTCCCAGAGGATGTGTGTTCATGAGAGTGCCCCTGGGCGAGACGGCATGGCTCACACGTCCGAGCTGTGCGGACAAGACGGCGAGAGCCAAACAGTTCCCGGCAGCGGGAATGAAGCTCTTCCCTCTCCAGAGCGGGGCGGGGCCGGCCAGGCCGGGGCAGAGCTGGGGACCCGGCGCTGGCTCTGGCTGTGACTGGACCACTACCCCCATCTGCCTGGCCTCTCTCCTTTTCCTGAGGGTAAAGGGGGCACAGGGCACTGGGGTGACTCAGCCCCCAGGACGTCCTCCTCCGCAGCCACAGCCTCACAGAAGTTGGTATGGGAGACACCTCTGCTGATGGGTGCTAGCCAGTGAAACGTGGACACACCCAAAGCCACGGAGACCCTCATGCGAACAGAAGCACCGGGCAGGAGAGCAAAAGAATCTGCATCTGGCTGGGCCCTTGTGGGGAAATTGCCAGAACAGCTATTTACACGCCTTGCCTTGTTCTTTTCTCGTGTTTGTTCTTTCGGTTGCCCCAACTACCCGTCTAAGCTCTGGGAATGCTCCTTGCCAAGGTCCTTCAAGAGGATTTCCACCCCACGCCCAGCTCCTCAGTAAAACTGACACATCACAAAATCCCCAGAAGGTTCCAGTGCGTCTGGTTAGGTGCAGAGCCAGGGCCGTGCCCGTAACCGTTCTGCCTGGAAGTGGACCGTGGGTCCTAAGCGCAAGATCTCAGGGCTGGGAGGCGTCAGAAGTCAAGCACACACGCCACAGTCTCACTCACACACACACACACACACCCCACATGCACACAACAGACACACGAACATATACACACAGGCACACAGCAAGCACACACAAGCACGCACTCACACAAACATGCCAGCACACCCCCCACGCTTGCACACGCACTCACACGCACGTGCAGGCACACAGACATGTTAAGTCGAACTCCGTGGTGTGGTGGGCACAGGGCACAATACAATCCCTTCCCTCTCTGCAAACAGACCAGCCGCTGTCTGCTTTCAGTGACTCCGGAGACCCCAAGGGGCGAGGTCAACCACCCCCTCCTCAATATGTTTCCCGTCCTTCTAAGGACAAAGAGATCACCCCACAGAGGGACACAGGGACACACATGACAAGAGTGCCTGCAGCAAGGCCTTGGGAGCTGGCTGGAGCGATTTAGAATCGAAGAAAACAAGGCAATAAAAACATCAGGGGAACAAAGTCACAGCGAAAATCAGCCAGTTTGGGGGCAGCACTGATGTGACACAAGACAGAGAAATTTTCAGCCAGGACCACGGCCACCTGGTTGGCGGTGGGGCCTCTGTTCACACAGGTTTCTTCGATACAAGGGTGGTGCCTGCCCAGACAGACTCAGCGCTAAGCAGGCACAGGGCTCGTGCAAACTCCAACGAAGGACAGATTCCTTTCGCCTTCAAAGGGCCCTGGGGGGTGGACAGTGATGAAAGTGGAAGCATTTTCGGGAGAGGGGCTGGGCGTGAGGAGTGAAGGGACACGAGGGCACATGCAGGTGCGGGCTGCCTGACTCCGCTCTCAGCGGCCGGGCACCCGAGGGGGCCACCTCACTGACCCTGTGTCGGGGGCAGGGGTGTGGAAGCCACATGGCCAGCGGGCGGTCGACGGCAGAGTCGATGACCCAGCTGTGCTGGTGCATATGGAGCGTGCAGAGGGAAGATGGAGTACAGTCTGTGGCCCTGGTGACGCCCGGCTTGCCCCGGGCTCTGCCCTGCACTCCGCACAAGGGACGTGAGAAAAGAGCTCCATTCCATCCATGCGGGCAGCAGGTGGTTCTGGGATCCCCGCGGGCATTCCGGGTTTGCAGGAAGAGCGAAGGACACTTTGCAGGGGTGAAGACAGCCCCCGCAGCCCAAATCCTCCTGCTTCCTTGGGCTTTACTGCAGAGACACCCCGAGACCCTGGTGCTGCCCCACCGCACCTGAGCTAGCCCGGGCCCCCAGTGCAGATGCACGTCCTTCAGGCGATGACCGGTCCAGCAGTGACCTTCAGAGCTCACGCCCTTTTGTGGCACAAAGACGGAGAAGTGGCAGGTTCGGCACCGGCAGTGCCACAGGCCAGGCACGCAGGCTGAAGTCACGGGGGTCCTCCCCGCCACGGGCTGGGTTCAAGTCGGGCTAATGCTCATTTCTGTGCACAGTTCTCTGAGCAACTCCCTGAAAAGTTCCCACTTTCCCAACGCTCAAGTAAGAGTAGAATATTCCTATGAAAATTCCCAAATGCATGCTTTAAATACAGACTGTGGGGGCACCGGGCTGGCTGTCGGTGGAGTGTGCAACTCTTGATCTCAGGGTCGAGTGTGAGCCCCACGCTGGGTGTAGGTATTACTTAGAAATAAAATCTTTAAAAACAGTAACATAAAATACAGCTTATCAAGTTCCCTAAGACCAGGGCTGCTCACCTCTCTGAGTCATCAGAAATGCCTTTAGAGGCCTCCTGGGCCCTCGGGACCCAGGTCCTTCCCGGTGTCCCCGGGTCATGGCCCCGGCCACAGCAGCCAGCCGGCCAGCTTCCTCCTGAGCCCCCTGGAAGACAGGGAAGTAGGGGAGATTATGCTCATTCCTGGACACACGGCCAACACAGGAGAGCAGAAAACCCACTGGCAATATGCTCCCCATCAGAAAGGCTTGCTTCCCTAACTCACAAAGCTGCTCTTATCCAGTCACCTGGAGTAGGTGGGGGTCCTTGTGTGTCCGCCTGCCCACCTGGGAGGGCGGGCAGCAGGGGGAGAGGGCATCTGGCAGCAGATAAGTCTGGGAAAACACTGCAACCACGGATACCACATTTGGGAGGAGAGAAGGACTGACTGGGAGTCCACACAGGACCCTTAGGGCCACCCCAGCCGTTCCCCCGACTCCTCTGCGGCCCCCAGGGCTGCCTGGGTCCTCCCACAATAAGCGTCTCTCTTTTTTCACTATTGGTCAGTTCCCTTAATTCTTTACGTTGACATTTTAGTTTAATATAAAGGATTTTGCAAAAGGTTGTCTTATTTTGTGTTTTACCTAGAAAACTTGACCGCCCTTCTGTGTGGCCTGGGGTTGTTTATGGGTGTGCACGTCACTGGAGAAGACAGTGGTGTCAACTGGGGACACCAGAAGTTCCTTCCCAGGCTGGGGGAGGGGGATCCTGGGTGAAAGACTGAGAAGGCTGCAGGGGCACCGGAAGCTCCTTTCGGGAGGGGGGGGAGGGGAAGGGAGGGAGAGAGGGTCCCTGGAGAAAGACTGAGGAGGCTGCGCATTCAACTTAGGCAAATTCCTCTGAATCCTGTGATTTCTAGAACATTGCTGGGGCCCTGCAGCCCAGCAGGGCAGGTGAGTAAACAGGGCCTGGAGCCCCTGGTGGGATCAGCACACAGGCCCTGCACACGGCCCCCTCCCAGCACCTCTGGCCCCCTTCGTCCTTTCCCCACGGGGAAATGTGTACCTTCCGGCTTTACCGGTGACAGGCTTTAAAGTGAGCTGTGTGCAAATACCCACTGAGTTGGCAAACAGTCCCTCTCCAGAGCCCTGGGGCTGGCACCTTCCTGTCAAATATGAGGACCTCTGTGAGCCAACATCCGCTCCTGCAGGCAGGGGACCGGGCCGGGTGTTTTCTTCCCAGGGGTCGGGGATGGAGCTCCAGGCGTCAGAGCCAACCCAAGATGCTGGGCGTGATAAAGAACCGAGAGGACTAAGGTCCCTGCGCTGTCCCCTGGGCCAGCCGCAGCCACCTGGGCTACGTAAAATTTAGCGTCTCCATCACATCAGCCACGTTTCAAGGTCAGTGTCAGACACGGGATTTGTGGGTGCTCGGAGCCCTGCGGCCGGTGAACAGGGGCCACCACCGTGTCACTTGTGAGGGCGGAAGGACGCCCGGAGGTGAGGGTGGCACTCTCTGAAGGGCCTTCTCAGCTGTGCTCAGTACAGACACTCCAGAGGGAATGAGTTAGCAGCTTTCTCTAAGAAACGGCCCCAGAAGCCCCTCGGCGGGAGCCACCGAGGCTCTGCCAGGACGTCCCCCACCAGTCCTGGAGGCTTCTCCGCACAACTTCCCTGCACCAGGACCAAACCCCTGGGAGAACCTTCCGGAAGGCAAAGCACCCTATGCAGCCTCCACCCCTCCTTTGTGTTCGCTAAGTTCTGATGAACAAAAGCCACCTACTCAGAACTGTTCGGAGCCACAAATTCTATTTGGGATTTAGTGCTCAGTTTTGGTGCTACCTCTGAGCTAACAGTCGACTTAACTGAGGCCTGCCGGTTCCAGGGAAGGCTCAGGGCAGCTAAGACACACACGGCGGCTTGACGGTGGCACTGTGTAAGGTCCCCACCGCCAGCGCTCGGGCAAGCCCTGGTACCCTGCATACCACACCGAGCGCCCAACACCTCGGGAATGCTGTTCCTCATGGCTGGTGGCCTTTCCCTGCTCTCAGTTTGATCCGGGCCCTGCTGTTACCATAGGACTCAGTTTCCCCGCTCTGAACGGAGCTTAGCCAGGTACCCACGTGGCAGGCCGGCACCAACGGCAACGCCCGGCACCCCACCTCTTATGGAGCAAACCGCGCCTTCGTGGGCTCCACTCCTGGAGGCCCGCACAGACGGGCACGCACTGCCCATCTCGAGATGCTCCAACCTTGGGCCTCCGCGGCACCCGCCCCACCCCAACCACGTTCTCCTCTCGACTCAGCACCAAAGTGTGCGTGGGGAGAATTTGGTAATTAAGTTCCAGCTGTGAGGGGAGGGCAAAGATCCTGGTAAAGGGGACCCTACCTTCCTCTGGGCTGCTCCCAGGAATGGGCTGCGGCAAGGACAGCAGGGGCAGGAGCAGGGGCAGGGCTCGGATGAACGCCCTCCAGCCAGATCCCATGCAGACCGCTTCCATCCAGGGGGCCTCCCGCTCGCAGCCCTAACCTCTGCACGCAGGACAGCCGTCCCCTGTCCTGAGAGGGTCAGTGAGCCTGGCCCTTAACACCCTGACAGCTGACCAATCACGAGCGAGCTGGGGGGTGGGTGGAGCTGGGGGGGGGTCTCACCCACTCACTCCCAGCCCCCCCAGATGGGCGGCCCACCTGGTGCTAACGTGCGCAGGGCAGAGGGTGAGTCCTGCGTGAGGCTCCACCGTAGCTCCAGCAAGGCGATGCCCTGAATAGAGTGTGCGACGGGGACACAGAGCCGGCACCTCACGTTGCCAGCAGAGGGCGTTCACGGGACACTTTCCGAGCAGGTTTCCAGGTAGGAAAAACACATTCCCTATGCCTGCGACTAAAACAGCAACTGTCTCACACACTCAGATACTTGTTGAATGAGCACGCGGCACCTGTCCCTCTAAAATCTTCCCAATTCCCCCACGGCCTTCAAAAGTAAACTAAACATCCACAGATCACTCTTCACACACCTCAACAAGTTGATCGCGAATGCCTTGGTACCCTGGCCACTTGGCAGGGCGGACATCCTGGCAGCCTGACTGTTTTCTAATTGTTCTCTCCTCCCCGCCCC